GCTTGGGCCCACTTAGGCTTGTAGCGTGGTTGGGTGTGACATAACAATGTTTGGCATGGCATGTTGCTTGGCATGTCTTTCAATTATCATGCTTGATGGGATAATTAGCATGGATTTGTAGAACTAACGCATTTTACAATCTTAATTTTGATTCCTAGCACGATAGATTATTTATTTGGCATGGCACTCGAAGTGTGATTCGTGCACTGCGAATCTTTGCATGCTCCAAATTGGGCCCTTTCTGAATAATGTGTCATTTTGGGCTAGGAATTTATTTGGGCCCAACTGTGGATTTTTTAGGCCTCAACATGCATTAACAGGCTAGAATGAGCATCGTGGATAAAGCCTCTGGCTCAAGGGGGGGTGGATAAGAAATTCTGGAGACTAATTTGGCATGCGAAAACCCATCCTCAAATTTGTCACTTTATGTGGAAGGCAATGACCAACTGTCTTGCAACAAAGGCCAACTTGGCTGGAAGAAGGGTGTCATGCTCCTCAACATGCCCTATATGTGATGATCATCTTGAATCGGTTGAACATGCCCTTCTGACCTATACTTGGGTTATTAGGTATGGTTTGCTTACCCGTTGGGGTATATCGGTGATAGGCAACAGGTAACCTCTCTTCACCAATGATTTCTCTCCCTTTGCAACATCCCTGACCAGCCTAAAGATGAGGTTAACAAATCGATTACTATCTTGTCTTTTGTTATGTGGAGTATTTGGAAAGCTCGTTGTAAGGCCATGTTTGAGCATTTGCGTCCAAATCCTTTGGAGGTCTTACATGAAGCTAGGGAGGCCTGGTTTGAATTTTTCCAAAATGAGGTTTGCCCAAGGATTATCAATAGAGTTGGTAGGGATGAAGGTGTGGTGAGTCCGGGTCTGACATGGTGTGCTCCTCCTAACCCATTTATGAAGCTGAATGTGGACGCTTCTTGGCAAAAAGCTTTAGGTGTAGCAGGTCTTGGCATAATCATCAAGAACCATGGGGGTGAATTTAAGTATGGAGAATTTTAAAGACCACAACTGGGTCTGTTGAGATTGCTGAAGCGCAAGTGATTATTGAGGGACTTTCCTTTGCGCTGGAAAATGGCATCACTCATGTATGTGTGAGTCTGATTCAAAGAAGGTTATTGATAATTGTGCTGGAAAAATTGCAAGAGGGGACTGGGGTATCTATCCTTCTTTATGTCGGATACAGGATTTGAAGTCCAAGTTTTTTGCTGTTTGTTGGACTTGGATCCCAAGAGAAGCCAATGCGGTTGCGGATGCTACTGCGCCGATTGCTGTTGGAGGGATGGGTACGGAAGTTTGGGTCGATCGACCCCCATCCTCCCTTGTTCATGTTCTGTCTCATGATGGGCTTCCTTGCCCACCGTTGGCTTTGTTTTGGTGATGAATTTCTTGACCGCCGACACCTGTTGCCATCTGCAATGTGTCTGGTTTTCTGTCATAGCTCCTTTTTTTTTTTTTTTTCTGTAATTCTGGGTCGGCATGTTTTTTTGGTTGCTTTTGGTTCTTGGCTTATTGTAGGCTGTTGTGTCTTGGCTTACTTTGTTCTGCTCTGTTTCTCTCTTTGGTTGTTTGCCTTGGCTTTTGCCTAATGAAATATTCAGTTTCTAAAAAATACACTTTTTTGTCTGTTTGTGTATTGCGAATCTCACGGCCTGGTGCTCCGGGCCGAGGGGATGTGCTTCAACACGTGACGTCCTTCTTTTGGATGCGGTGCGGTTGTGCGCGGGCGTGCCAGCACGGTCTACCGTGCGTCGAGATGATGATGAGGTTCGGGTAGAAGATGGTTTAAATGTTGCGCCTGTTTTACGTTCGACTCATAATCAAACGATTGTGGCCGAGAGAGAAACTGATATCGGCCGTCAGGTTCACGGCCTGAGCTACAAGGCCGTTTAGTGGTGGTGTTGGTGGCGGG